ATGATCATAACTAGGATACCTTTGCTTCTGAAATAGAAACCCAAGATATGTCATGACAAGCAGAAATGTACTTCGTAATACCGGTGCCTGTTTGATTCATTCTGTTGAGATGCTGATGAGGCAGAGAAAAAGGAAAATCAAAATCAAAATGATCAGGTCAGCTGCCTTGTGGGCACTAAGAGGCTAGTTCTTGATTGGCGCATTAAAATGCTGTCATTTGGCATTTTTCAGCTCTAGGGGGGCGTAATTGACATACAGTAAATTGCAGGTGTTTAAAATGCGCAATACAATGAGTTCTGATTTACACACACCTGTGAAACCATCTCCACAATCAAGATAATGAACTTATCCATCATCCCTGCAAATTTCCTCCTGCCCCTCGGTAGTCCCTGCCCCTCCAACCTCGGTACCCAGGCAACCACTGACCTGTTTTCTGTTACTATCGATTGTACTTTGTGGGACTAATTTTATTTTATTTTATTTTTTTAAATATATTTTATTGATTTTTTACAGAGAAGAAGGGACAGGGATAGAGAATTAGAAACATCGATGAGAGAGAAACATCGATCAGCTGCCTCCTGCACACCCCCTACTGGGGATGTGCCCACAACCAAGGTACATGCCCTTGACCAGAATCGAAACCGGGACCCTTCAGTCCGCAGGCCGACGCTCTATCCACTGAGCCAAACCGGTCAGGGCGGAGCTAATTTTATACACATGAAATCATGCAGTTGGCACTCTTTTTCAGGCTAACCTCTTACATTCTGCATAATTATTTGGAAAGCCGTTCATGTTTCAAGTGTCAATATTTCATTTCTTTTGATTCCTAAGTAGTTCCATATAGTGGTTGTTTTTTTGTTTTTTTGTTTGTTTGTTTTTGAGGCTTAGTTAATACTTTCCTGGTGGGGGGCATGCAGGAGGCAGCTGATCAATGATTCTCTCTCTCTCCCTCTACCTTACTCTCTGAAAGCAATAAAAAGATATTAAAAAAACAAACAAAAAACCAGACATGAATCCCAGCTCTCATGTCCTTACATTCTAAAGAGAGGAGCTGGGCAAGAACTACAACAAAACAAAAATCTTACAGGGTGTTAGAAGTCCGCATGTGCCATTTGGAAATAGCAGAACGGGGAAGGGCCATTAGACGCCATCCTAGCGATGCAGCCTAGACTCGGCCAAGCGCCCGTCCATTAGACTGAACGGACACTGGTGTGGTTTTCTAGGTCAAATGCAAAGTTTCATGGAAGTCACCGTGGAACAGGATTAAAACAAGACCAGGCCCCCACGAATGGCAGGAGTTAGAGGATGAGGGGCTCTTGCCATTGGTTCTGCCCGCAGGTTTGAAGCTTTTGTGTTCACCATAGTCCCTTCCCCTAAGGTTAGGCATCAAGTCCGAGACTTAAAGTGGGAGAACAGCCTAGCTCCGTGGTCGGCAAACTGCGGCTCGCGAGCCACATGTGGCTCTTTGCCCCCTTGAGTGTGGCTCTTCCAAAAATACTGGCTCTTCCAGGATAGAGCATCGGCCTGCAGACTGAAGGGTCCCAGGTTCAATTCTGGTCAAGGGGGTCAATAATTCTGGCTCATCATTGATGTATCTTTCTCTCTCCCTCACCCTTCCTCTCAGAAATCAATAAAAATATATTTTTTAAAAATGGGAGAACATTCTCCCAAAACTCAAATCTCAGCACGTTGTGTTGGTAAACGTCCTATTTCAGTTCCAATAGGACCCCGACCCGGAATGCCTGCTTCGCTGATTCCAAGCATCCATTCATTCGGTGCTGCAAGTGGGGCCGAGCCAAAGGTCGTGCTCAAAAACGGATAATACGGGCCCCAAGACCAAAGCAAAGAATGTTGGACACGTTCCCCAGCTCAGAACGGTTTTTGCGTTTAGACTTGGGCAGGTTTGGAGAGGAGGGTGCTGTAGGAGGAGGGGGCCTTCTTGGCCTGCCTTCAGCACTGTTACTCCCCGGCCATCTGGCCCTTGGCCAAGGCGGGCTGCACTTCTGAGAAACTTGATTTCCTGTTCCCACCGCCTGTGCTGGCTGAGGACGGGGCAAACTTCACTCGTGAGATTCTTCCAAATCTTCTGGGAAGACAGTGTTTTGTTTTGCCTCAGAGTCATTGAAATCATAAAACCGTCAACTTAGAACCCAGAGGGGCCCGTCCTATGACCTCGACTCTGATATTTTACAGAAGAGGCGAGGCCGAGTTCAGAGCTCTGAAGTGACAGGGGAAGGAGGCGGGATGGGAACAGGGTCCGTCTAGTTTTCCTGACTCTAAACGTGGTGTCATTTCCTCCACGGATGATAGAAAATTATAATTCCAAATACTAGGCCTCGGGGAGTTTTACTCAATGCAAGTTATGTATCACAACCTAATTTACAAAAACACCACCACAGGGTCAGTTACCCAAGTCTCCCCTTGAACCTGAGCCTGTTTGACTCCAGGGCCATGGGCATTCCCGCCCTTTGCCTCTCGGTAGCATTGTCACTACCGCCAATATGTAGCCCCTTTGGTGCCTTGTGTTTCAGGAGGGAGCTGAGGACTGAAGAGGCTGTGCAGCAAGAAGTCACTGACCGTGGCCATGGGGGTGGAGTGGGGGGAAGACTTGCTGGGTCCTGAGCCCCAGGGGGTCAAGAGCTTCTGATAGTGCCATATAAATTTCACTTCTCAGTGAAATGAATCACTCTTCACATAGACGGATCTCTATGTGGACACCAGTTCCTGCATGGGGTTCAGGGTCAAAAACAAAACAGGGCTGGCGGGCATTGGGAAAGGGACATTTGGTATTCTCTTGGCTTCCTGGCTAATTACAAAGTGTTAATGACTGTCACAGGAAGCTGGCCTCCCTCGGTGGTGTACAAATAAGGAAGGGCAACAGAAGGCTAGCCAAAGGGAAGACAGGGTCCTCCAGGGAATTGCAAAGCACACCAGCCCCAATAATTTAGAAGGAAATGGACACCCCAGTAGCTTGGAAAATCAGTACAGGCGAAATGAGGCAGCTCCAAGAGCTCTCAAACTAGTCGGAGCTGGGTTTCAAAGCCCGAGGATTGGTTATTGCCAACCATTTCTTCAACAATGGCGGTGCGGTGTCTTTCTTAAAATCCATAGGAAACATATAAACATGACATAGAAATAATGTGCGGAAGAGGAATTGGGAAGCAGGAAGAGAACAGATAGAGACAGTACAGCTGTTTAACTTTGATGGGGACAGAAAAATGTTCTCTGATAGTATTCCTTGAGAAGATCAACATAGCCCAGCCGGTGTGGCTCAGTGGTTGAGCATCAACCCATGAACCAGGAGGTCGCCAGTTCCATTCCCGATGAGGGCACATGCCCAGGTGGCAGGCTCGATCCTTAGTGTGGGGCGCGTAGGAGGCAGCCGCTCAATGATTCTCTCTCATCATTGATGTTTCTATCTCTCTCTCCCTTTCACTTCCTCTCTGAAATCAATAAAAATATATATATTTTTTTAAAAAGAGAAGATCAACGTAATATTTTGTTCCTTATGAATATTCTTGATGCATTTTGGTCTTGTGGTTCAAAACTATATTAAAGTCAAGATTTCAAATTTTTCCTTAGTAAGCATACCCTTGCCAGATGGGACCAATGAATTTTGATCCTTTCTACAGTTTGGTTTACATCAAATATGACTCTAGGCATTCTGGGCACTGAAGCTTTCTAGTTGCCAGTACTTGGTACCGTGTTCTGCTCTCAGCCGGAGTGAGATCGCCAAATGAATGGATTCAGCAACTTCTGCATTTCCCATTTTGAGATTACTGCATATTTTATTATGCTTATTCAATAGTTCTCCAGCCTCTCAACCCTTGTTCATCTGTTTTCTCCCTGTTCTGCTGCTTCACCCTTTCTCATCTCTAGCTCGCTCTGTAGGGTGTTTCTGTAGGTTACATGGCTTTCTTAAAACATGTCATAGGCAACAATTTCTAGATGTTCAAGTTCATCAAAATATTATGAAGACCACTCAACCAGTGTGTGTCAGTGGTTGAGCATTAAACTAGGAACCAGGAGGTCAGGGTTTGACTCCCGCTCAGGGCACAGGCCTGGGTTGTGGGCTCGTTCTCCAGTGTGGGGCGTGCAGGAGGCAGCCGATTCATGGTTCTCTCTCATCGTAGATGTTTCTCTCTCTCTTTCTCCCTCCCTTCCCCTCTGAAATCAATTAATATATATTTTAAAAAATGTTATGAAGACCAGGGGTGTTCACAGTGATAACAGGATGAGTGAAAATAATCACCTGATTCAGGGACTGGGTGCTTTAAGGAGACAGTACTTCTCTGTGTTAGAAACTTGCTACCTTGAGAAACGATCGACAGACGATCGACAAGTTTCTGTTGGGCTTGAGTACCAGGGAGGAAGCTCCCGTGAAGCTACAAAGTTGAAGCCTTGCCCCACAAATGACTTGCAGTTCTCAGGGCAGGTAGAATGTTCTGGGAGACCTGCCCTACGTCTTTCTGCACCTTGGGCTTGCTTCACGCCGGCGCTGAGTTCACCATCATGTGAACTGTGTTGTTTCCGGAAGAAACAAAGAGCAGGAAACCATGATGGATGGGGGGCGGCCAGAGCACAGCTCTCTGAGGCCTGTCTCCTTCTGCAGGCCCCTCCCCACGGTGCTGCCGCCTCGCCCACCCCTCCCTGTGCAGCTGACGGTGCCTCCTGCAGGAAGAACAAGCAACCTGAGGTCCCTGAGCTCTGGCCACAGGCCGTTTCCTCTGCTAGGAACCTCCCGAAGATCTTTCCCACCTTCTAGACCAGCAAGGCTAAGGGTGGATTTGCATCATCCAGGCCTGTCACTGGGCCTAGAGTCCATTCGGCCCAAATAGTGGGCAGAGATCCCCCAGAGACCAGAAAGGACCACATGTCTAGCCCTTTCTGCATCTCCCTGGGGTCCCCAAAGCTGCCCCTGTGCCTGCTGCCCTGTGGTCCCCTCTAGGTGCCTATCGCTCTGAGTCTCTGGCTCATCTTGGACACCCCCCCTCCTCCAGGGGCTCCGGAAGACACAGGTGCCCCCTGGGATGCACCGCTCCAGCCTGCAGCTCAATGGGCACACCTTCTGCTGAGATCTGTGCTGATGGGATCGTTTCTTTCCCTTGCTGGTTGGCAGCCGTCTTCCCCCAACAAGGCAGCCCACCTTTCCACTCAGGAGTTCTCAGGAACCCGAAGGGAACCCCGGATCCCTGAGGCTGCGAACCATCGACTGTCCCCGTTTCCCCATCATCCACTTGGCGCCCAGATGAGCCCATGAGGCATCTTGGGCAATTTTCCGCCCCAATTGCCTCAGGTTTCCCTCTATTTCGAGCTTAGGATGTGTAACAGTTAGGAAAGAAGGCACGTCTTGCTGAGTGCTTGGTGCAACCAGTCTTACTGCTCACATCGCATCTGGATAAATGCAATTTACAAATGCGTCCTGCCCCACACGCTGGCCCAGGCCCGCTCTGCAGGCGGGAAACACACGCACCGCATCGCAGGATTCAGCTACGAAGCCAGCGCGGTCTCATTTTTCTTTAAAAGAATGACAAGTCGCCCTGATCAGTGGATAGAGCGTCGGCCTGCGGACTGAAGGGTCCCAGGTTCGATTCCGATCAAGGGCATGTACCTTGGTTGTGGGCACATTGCCAGTGGGGGTTGTGCAGGAGGCAGCTGGTCGATGTTTCTCTCTCATCGATGTTTCTAACTCTCTATCTCTCTCCCTTCCTCTCTGTAAAAAATCAATACAATATATTTTAAAAAAATAAATAAAGGAATGACAAGTCAAGGAGCAATTCTCTGCCATCAAGCAGGGCGAGGTGTCAGGTGGAGACGAATGAGAAGCACAGAACTACTTATTCGCAGCAGCCACCTAGAAACAACCCGAAAAGGCCCGTGCCCGTGTGCGATAGGCACAAGGCATTCTTTTACGAACAGCAAGTGTCCAAGTTACAAAACCCCTAAGAAAGGCTTCTTCTGAACTCTCCGATGGGGCAATTTATCTCCTTCCCCAGCTGGAGCATGTGTGAGCGGCCTCTCAGAAAGGGACATCTCAGTATGCAAATCTCTGGGCCTTTGTCGGGCAGGAAGTCTATTTGAGGCTGAGGCGACTGTGGCAGGAGGAAGCAGAGGGACTTGAAAACGCATTTGTCACATAGGTTTTGTGAACTAACCAAAGCCTTCAGGGTGACCGTGGTCCTTTCAGTTCCCCGCCTCCCTCCCCCCCTAGATGTTATCTTCAGAGACCACAGGAAATGTTTATGCAAATCCAAAGGCGATTTCGCCAGAGTAAATAGGATTGATACAGAAATGGAGAGATTTGGTTTCTAATGATTGAAAGCCTAACCCTGCCTGTCCCCCACACCCTACTCCACCCCAGTTATGGGAATTGGCTAATAAGCAATAATAATGCTTGCTAGTACTAACACATGTGGGCATGGCTTTTTAAATGTTCGCTCTTTTATTGCTCTCATTGAGAACTGACTCCGAGAAACGGACCACGTGGCTTGGTAGACAGAGGGACAGACGGATGGATGGATGGATGGATGGATGGATAAGCAAGGACAGCAAAATGTCAATGGTGAAATCTAAGTGGTGGGAACATACGCGGTGTGTATAAAATTCTTTCCACTTTGCATTATGTTTGAAATGTTTAATAATAAAATGCTAGCTTAGCTGGATTGGCTCAGTGGATAGAGCGTCAGCCTGTGGACTGAAAGGTCCCCGGTTCCATTCCGGTCAAGGGCACATGCCCGGGTTACAGGCTGGATCCCCAGTGTGGGGAGTGCAGGAGGCAGCTGATCATGATTCTCTCTCATCATTGGTGTTTCTCTCTCTCTCTCCCTTTCCCTTCCTCTCTGAAATCAGCAAAAAATAGATTTTAAAAAAATAATAAAATGTTAGGAAAAAAATCTACCACTTATTTTGAAAATGGCTAGAACTCTTAAGATGTGACTCAGGCCGAGGGCTGGGAACGCCCATCCACTGTCGCCTGAATCTGTGATTTCAGCTCCGATGGCCCAAACCTTGCTAATCTAGCAAAGGGGGCTGGCGGTGCAGGAACTGGAGGGTTCCCTACCAGTAAGCCTCCGGTGGTTGGGTGCGCTTCACGTTCACGTACATTTCAGCATTTTCTCCAATCCTCAGACTCTTGGCAAAAGTTTTCACACGAAGGCAGCAGTTCAGTTTAGGCGCTGGCTCTTTAAGAACAAATGCAAGCATTCATCTGACAGCCC